CTCACCATTGTTCCTGCACAGCTGAGTGCCTGGGTTCGTCCTAATTGAGCTGAACACAAATAGCTGGGTTCCACGGTTCTCTTCCGTGACCCACAGCTTCTAATAGAGTTATAACACTCACCACAAGCCCCAAGGTACCATTCCTTGGAATCCCTGAGGCCAAGAACCCCAGGTCAGAGAAAAAGTCCGCCACCATCTTAGGAGCGGCCGGCCACCATCTTGGGAGCTTGAAGAACAAAGACCCCCTGTAACAATACCACATACACAGACATGTTCTGTATTTTTACGATTGAATTTCTCTAGTGAATTTATCATTTCTTTCCTTTTCCTCTTATTTCCCTGTTGAAAACATACTGAAACAAACTTATGCTTTGTAATTATTAACAGAATTTTCAAGCTAGAAACCCATGTATCTTCCCCCACCATCTATTATCTTTATGAAGTAACAGAATGAACCTACTAAAGATAATGCTATATTTCAGTAAATAAATTATTTCAAATTACTTTTATCCAGCCCTCATACATATGGAGACTGTGGACAGGCTTCTATCCCCAAAGAGAAGTATTTTTCTTCAAATGCCCATATAAAAAATAAATTATTGTTCAATGATTAGTGATAGTATGAATATTTAATATTACGGCTTTTTAACTAGACTAATAAAATTGACATTTACTGTTTGGTTATTAAGATTAGACCCAGTTTTACAATAAAATTTCATATATTGGATAACCTGGAGAATCTACAGAATATTTTAAACAATTCATTTTTTCAGAAAACAAATTATTTCACTTCATGTTATTTTTTTATAGTATATATAAACATAATATGTTTGCACTAAAGTATATTTTTTACATTTATTTTAAAAATTTTAGTGATAACCTTATCTAATAGTCCTATCACTTTCTGAAAGCATGATCTTGAATTTCCTCTGGTTTCATCAAACATGATTTTAGGTATATAGTAATCTACCCATGTAAACAATCAACTTCTACATTTGGGTATAATTACTACATAATGCATGATGAAATGAATTACACACACCTTGGATAGTGTTTCCTAGAGTTCATCTGACAATTTAAAATTTAGAAATGCATACAAACATGGCATCCAAAATCTAGTCTTTGTATATTACAGAGGTCTATGAAGGTTTTTTGCTTTTTCATAATTTCGATAACAGTTATAAATTTAAGGACATAATGAATTTATGACAGTTTTAAATGGGTCTCAAAACAATCTAGGATAGTCAGGGTTTCAAGAGCAAATTGTATCAGTGGGGTATGTTTGTTAATTAATGAATTACAAACTCAAATAGGAAGTTCCTCACAGTCCAATGTTCTATCTGTACAAAAGATCATTTAAAAACTGGACTGGGAATAATAATGAAATAAAATTATTTAATTTCACACTCTACTCATATCTCAGAACTTATACATAAACGAGACAAATAAAGAGGCTCAAAGAAGAGACATAAACATTCAATACAAGTTATAGAAATTCTATAAGACAGGAATGTGGTGTATTAACCTCAGAAAGGCTCTACAGTAGAAGAAAATTAACATTGTGTGAAAATAGTTACGGCATTTTCAGAGTTAGCAGAAACTTCTCAGAAGTTATCACTGACACACTTTGTAGATATTTTATTCCCTTTTGGAAAAACAAGCTCATAAAAACAATACTTCAATACGATACATACGCCTAGTATTGTATGACTATATACTTGTAGTACAGGGAAGAAAGCCATTTATTTTTAGAGATATTCAAAACCCTCACTGATCACCACTGCTGCAAAAAGTACAAGTTTAGCACTATAAGAAATAAAGAGCAGCGGAAAATCCCCATCTTGTTATGGCAGGGGAGAATATTAGAAATGAAACCTTAGTTTTATAAATTTCAAAACTGTACAGACAGAATGTGCAGTATTAGCTTTGCTGACACTATCTGGGATAATAAGAATATCTACCTGATAGGAATAAGTCACATAAATATAGAAGACCTTAATAATTTTAGGGGGGTACATTTGAACAAGTTTTATCTCTCTCATGTTGTTTTTTAGAAACTCATCCTGGTAACTGGTTAGATAAAAATGGTCAGAAATACTGAATGTAATGTGTTAAATTGTGTTAAATGATTTTCAATGTTTAGAACTCTGTCAGAAAAAAATAGAATTTTGGAAAAACTGGATGTAATAGAAGTCATAATATAGAAGTAAAATTTTTTTTGTGGGTTACCTCTGTGAAATCTCATACAAACCTCCAAGACACACTAAAAATCTGGAATACTTCATGTATGCATTGTGTTCCTTTTTCATTTTTGTCAACCATTTACATTTTCACCAATGTCTGTGGATCTACCCTCTATCTTCTTGAACCTGTGGGTTCAGTGATGAACAAAAATGATAAAGTCTCTTCCCTGTAAGAACATATATAATGACTACGCATATACATAAGTCCATATGTAACCAGTAAATTTTAAGGAACAATATTCACAAGTGTCATACCATTTGAAGCAAATTGAATAAAAGCAGAGTGAAATTACAAAATTTGGTGGATTAAAAATAACAGAAAATTATCTTAAATCCATTGAGGAACTAAACACCATTCCCAATACGTTTGAGAGGCAACAGCAACAAATGAAACTTCCTTGATTTAAAATAAAATCAATACTAAAATTATAATCTATTTAGAAATAATGAATGGCCTATGTATTAAAATATATGAATTATTCTCAGAGTGGTGGTCAAATAAAAATGTAAATATGTAAATGCATTTGTTGGAATATAAGAACATATATGTATTATCAAATATTAATTTTTTAAAATCCTACAAATATTAAAAAAGCAGAAGGGAATAATAAAGACAAAAAGTAATTAAAATGTATTAAAAGCAACATTAAAGAAAATAATGCCAACACCTGTACTTTTGAAAGACATATATAGTAGAAAAGAAGCCTCTGGGAAATACTAATAAGAAAAAAAACAAACAACAGGAATGAAAAATGGGATAGCACATAGATATAAAAAACATTACAAACATTCATTTTAACATTTCTAAGCGTTATACAGGTAATGCCCACAAGCTATTGACAGACGTGAACACAAATTCTCTCAATGTTTGTATCAGGCCATAACGGTATAATTCAGGAAAAATAGGCAGCTCGAAGTAAAACTACATGAACTATATTAAACAGGGAGTATGAGATAGGCCAAAAAAGTTATATATTAAGAACCTTTCCAAAAAAGAAAACGAAGTGTCCATATATTAAGATAATAAAAAATAAGTTCATATGTGTACCTACTGTATAGTCAAATACATTAAAAATTAAAAAAATTAAAGCTCAAAATGTAAGCCAGAAGAAAATATCCAAAAGCAGTAGTAAATTGAGATCTAATACAACTTAATGAAATGAAAATTAAAGATCAAAAATTAAGAAATGGATGATAAAACAATAGCTTGGGTATACAAAGTTAAAATAGACTTAGGAAAAGTATCTAGAATGCAATCTAAAGAGAAAGAGCAACGGTAACTACAAAAGAAAATTTGCATGACATGAAGGAAAAAGTTAGAAAATTTAATTGATGTCTAATTGGCATCTTAGAAGAAGCTAATACATAAGAGGTGTCTTTTTAAACAGATAAAGCTGAAAATATTCCAGAATTGTTGAAAGAGTGGGAATTTAGAAAGCACAGTTAATTGCAAGTCGAATGAATGAATAAATAAGTAAACCAGAGTCCCAAACTATTCACAATATAGTAAAACTATAGAGCACTAAATACAGGTGTTATAAGCACCAAGTTGGTAAAAAAAAAATTATAGGAAGGGCTTTTAAACTGACATTTGACTTCTCATCAAGGACCAAAACCAGATGACCAAAGAATCAGTGAGTTAATCTTCAATGTGTTAAGTCACTACCAAGCATTCTCTACATAATAAAAACATTTCTCAAGAATGAGGATGAAATAAAAATATTTTCATAGTAAAATTTAAAGCATTATACAGTCTACAAACTCTAAGGGAATTTCTGAGACATTTATTTCAGCTGGAAAAAGTATTCTACATGACTCTGAAATGTAAAAATAATGTGGGCAAAAATAGTAAATAAATTAGTAATAAAGCATTGACTGTATAAAATAATTTAAAAAAATAATTTATGAGAATACAAACAGGCTAGAAGTAATAAACTGGACAAAAATACCTTAATAGTTTAGAGTGGGATGATCTGTCAATGGTTACAGCTGTTTAGGCTTCATTTATTAAGAAAAGGATCAAGAGTCTTTAATTAATTCTTTACCTTACTTGAGACATTGCTAACTATGAAAGCTAAACTAGCAGGTCTAAATGAGACTTTCTAAACAAACAAACAACAAAAAAAGCATGAAAAAACAATAAAAAAATTAAAAGGCATGAAAGGGATAAAAAACCAAGAAAAAGCAAATAAAAAATTGACGCAACTAGAAAATCATAAAGACAAATGTGAAACTGTGGTTTTTTTTTAAAAATAACCCTTTAAATGCAATATACAAGTGGTAAATATAAAGAAAGGTTGAAACTAAAAAAGGATTGAAATTCAAGAGAAAGGATGTCAAGCAAAGGGTAACCAAAAGAAGTGACAAAGTTATATTAATATTAAAACTATTAGTCTTCAAGGCTAAACACGTTAGCCTATAGATGAAGCAGGCTACCACACAAAGGTAAGAGTTCAGTTCTGAAGAAAAATATAAATGTAAATTTACATATACCTTAATAAAGGAGCTGCAAAATATGTAAGAAAATGGAACTATAAAGAGAAATGAACAAATCCACTATCATAGTTGGAGACTTGAACACACCTCTCTCAGGTGATACTCAGACAACAAAAAATTAAGTATATAGAAGATATAAATTGAAACAAAAATTGCAAACATAATCTAATAGAAAATACTACATACAATCTAAAACGCATTCTTTCCAAACCTATGTAAAACATTAAAAAAGATCACTACATCGAGGCTATAATTCACTCACCAAATTTCAAAGTTTGTTAAATAGATGACATTCTCTATAAACTTAGATTATCTTCCCACAATCAATAGAAGACCAAATTATTTTTCAAAGAAATTTATGAATCAATGAAATAATTATAACAGAATATAGAAAATGCTATGAATTGAATGATTGTGAAAATAAAGGAAGTCAGAAGAAATGTATAGCCTTAAATATTTATTTGAGAAAACAAATATTCAAGTACATGAGTTGATCATCTGATAAAAATAAGAGTTTACAAAATAAGAGTTTACAAAAAAGGTACATCTTCTCCATCTGAAAACAGAAAGTAGAAAACGATCAAGGTATCACTAGAGGTCAATGAAACAAAACATACAATAGTGGATGACAAAAGCCAATCTCTGAATCTTTGAAAAGAATATTATAAATGAACATCTGAAACCAGTGATCAAGAAATGTTTTAAGGCACAAAAAGACACTAAGAATGTTAACACTAGGCTATACAACCTAAAACAGTCAGATGAGCTCACTGTTACAGCTCTGGTTCACATCAAGAACCTTAGCACAAAGAAAGGACTCAACAAACATTTGGATCCATGAATAAAATTTGGATTAGTGAATAAATTATCTTCCCACATATAACCACCTGCCTAAAGCAATCTCCTCCTCCTTGAATTAAATTCAGCATGTCTGCATCATAGGGGGAAGCAACCCCTGAGGCCCAAGGCCAGTACCCCCTCCCCATCTGCACACCCTGTGTTCAAACCAGTCCCAGCTCCTGTCATGTTATTGGCTTCTGAGTATCTGTACTAATAGTTCTTCCTGCCAGCATATGAAGAAGAACAAATACGCAACTGAGAGAGATCCAGGGCTTTTAATCCACAGATGCCAGAGCTTGCTGGGATGTAGTCAGTAATCAGGCTGAACTCAGGAGTTCAGTCTTTCCTGGAATGATGGTTGGGGGTGGTGAGGGAAGTCAGAGGCCTGGGGAAGAAGAATGAGGTGTTAAACTGTAAGATAAGCTCTTTCCTGTTCCCACCATCCATCTGCTCCATGGGTAGCAGAGCTCAGATGCACAGAGAGGCTTTCCCTCTTTCCACACTTGCATCCAGGGACACCAAGGCCTAAGTTGGGTCTGACCTATTCTAGGATCTTTCTCCATGCTGTTGTCCTCCGGGAAGTCACGGCAAATTTGCATCTCCAGCAGGTTGTAGACTCACAGCCTTGGAGAAATACAGTATAGACAGTGGGTAAGGCCAGTCTCCCAGCTTCTGTCTCCACCTGCCTGCCCATGCCCACCTGTTCCATCTCTCACTTACCTTGAAGGGCACACCAGCATCTCTCCCCATAGTGTCTCCTGTACTCTGCTCCTGGGGTCGAGTCAGGTGCTGGGGTTTATCATCTGGAAGATTCTCTGCCTCAGCTTCAGCCTCAGGGAACAACAGCTTACCCTGCAGGGTATACAGAAGCTGGAGGAAGGTCTGGTACCTGTAAAGAGGAGGTAAGTGTGAAGGAAAGGAATCTCAGCTGGATCATTCTGAATCCGCAACCCATGCTCCCAACCTTACCTCTGCAGCTTGTCCTGCTCCTGTTCTGCCTGCTGCTTCAGGTTTCCAAGTTTCTGAAACACCCCCTCAAGCTCCTGCTGAGTCCCTGTCTTACGCTCCCTCACCTCTGCAGAAACCTTTGCCAGATGCTGCAGATGCTTCTCCTGCCAGGAGTGAGTGTGCAGACATTATGTATCAGATGTTGAGGTCTTAGAACCATCCCTCCAACCCCTCCAGCCTACACCCAGCTCAGGGCTCAGGCTCAATGATGAAAAGAGGGACTCTCTTCACTTCAGAGTGGAGTAGGGGCCTAGAGAAAAGGAAAGATCAGAATGAGCTGTCCTAGGGTGAGGCATTCTTGGAGGGAAGGGGCACAAAGGTGATAAAACTTATTTAACTTGCTATGTGCCAGGTACTATTTTAAGCCCTTGCTGTAATGATCATTTAATCATCTTAATAACTCTCTAGAGTAGGTAGTATTATTGCCTCCATTTTAGATAAAGAAACAGAAAGTTAGGTGACTTGCCCAAGGTCATGCAGTGGTAAGTGGTGATACTGAGATTCAAGCCCATGTTGGTATTTATATTATAGTGCCTCAAAGGAAGAAGCAAAACGAAGGTTTTCTAGACAGGGGACACAGTCCATACGATGGCATGGTGGTGGGAAAGGATATTCTCCTAGGAGGATGAACCTACCTGTTGTAGTTGCCACTGGTTCTGGGCTGCTCTGCGTTTCTCCATGGCCACTTGTTTCTGCAGATAAGCAAGGGAGAGGGACCAGGAGAAGAAGTCTATTTTTTCTGGCTGGAATTTTGGGAGATTGCAAGCTGGCACAACTCAGCTTGCTCACTCTTTCCCTCTTCCTATCTGACTGCCCTTCCCTCCCTGTACTCAGGACCCCTGGGTGTACCTTGGCCTGGAGCTGCTCAAAGGCTTCCTGGAGTTGTGTCCGCTTCCTCTGGGCTTCCTCCATCTGAGTCAGGGCCTTGGTGAGGCCAATTTTGATGGCCTCTACGTGCTCCCTGTAGGTGGCCTTCAGCTCTTTCCATTGTTCCTTAGCTGCAATTGCCTTCTGTCCTGAGATGAGCCACCAGGAATGAGAACATGAGTGAGGGTGGCCTGCTAGCCCGCCTCCTTGCAACACTGGGCCTCCTTCCCATTAGCCAAATGGGAGACCTATCTGAAATCCTCCTTCCTTCCCCACTCAGGCCAGATGCTACTCCAATCCCCTGCCTACTCACGGCTCGTGTCTTCAGAAGCCAAGGGGTCCAGACCCTTAGCAGTGTCCTCCTGAGCCAGGATGTTCTGCAGGAAGTCCACTACCTGAAGCTGGCTGCAGAGCAGCTTGTCTTTCTTCTGGGAGTCCTGCTCAGAGGGAGGGCAGAGACAGGGAACGTCCTTACCTCCTTACGGGTTTCCTTAAAGTCTGCTCTCTGCCAGTGCTGCCCTGTATCTCAATAAGAGGAGCCAGGACCAGACCCTGGCTTCTGAAAGGCTCGCTCTCATCTTGTACATACCACCACAAACTCAACCAGGATCTTGGCTGGCAGTTCTGCCTCCTCCTGCAAGCCTACAGGTTCCAGGATGCCTGCCACCTCAGCCAGGACCCTGGAGGGGTAAGGAAACAGAGGAAATTGCAGTTTCTTGTGATGCTAGTTCTACAGTTCTTGTGTGTACACAAATGTGGATGTGTATATCAGTATGTATACTATTGAGAGTCTTGCCTTGACCAGAGTTTACACAAGGGCCTGAAGGGCCTACAGCCTGCAACCAGGAATGGAGTGCACGGAGGGCACACAGTGATAATACGTGCCCAAAGTAAAATCAGCAGGGTTAGTAGATAAGGAGTTTGAGAAAAACGCTGAGATTTTAAATAGGGAGTGTTTCACTGAAGAGAAACCATTTGAGTCAAGATGTGAAGGAAGCCGGGGAGATATGCATGGAAGGGGAAGAATGCTGGGCCTTGGGATCCCTCCTGGCAGTGAGCACCAGCCTTGGGGCAGGGTCTTGGAAAAGCTGAGAAAGGACTCAGGGCAGAGGGTTGGATGCCTGGCTCTACTCTAGGGTTTTTCATTATTAGGGACTGGAGAAGTCTACGAGGGGGCAGGGATGGGGATGAGAAGTGATTGGGAATGTGTCGTGTTGGGACAGGAAGACAGAAGTGAAACAGTCTCCTAGAGCACATCGTGTGGAGTATGTGGGTGTGGGGAGCGGCGAACGGTCCCCCAAAGGCCGTACTCCTGGAGCACAACAGTCACCTCAGGAACCTAAGACGGGACTGCGGTGAGAATCAATTCACGGCAGGGTCGAACCTCAAAAGCTGTACAAGGTCGAGGGCAGCAATCATTACACATAGGGGCCCACAAGGTCCTCCCAGGCCCGCCCCCAGCTGCCACTTGGCCGCAAACACTTACTCTAGGGCTGTAGCTTCCGCCTCTGTCTCCGCCGCCTCCATCCTTCTAGGCTCCGCGTTCAGCCGCCTTCCCACAATCCCTAGGTATACTTTGAATTCACAGTCGACTTCGCGCCGGGGCAGGCGATTGGTTGCAGGGGTTAGTGGGCGGGCATCAACGACCACTCTGCGCTCTAATTGGCAGGCGCAGATTCGCACGTTGGCGTGCCTCGCTGCTTGGCGCAAGCGCGGTTATGGCTAGGCGCGCACGGGTTCTGCGCCTGCGCGCTAGACCGTAAGTGGTGCCAGAGACTGTTTAAGTGGGGCTTGAACTCGGCCGCGCGCTGTGAAGTTCTTGCTCTACTCGAAAGAGGGAAAGTATTTCCTTGAGTTTGCGTTTTAGGGGACACTTACAGCATTGACACTTTATTTAAAATATTTACTACTGCTGTAGAAAAAAAAAAAAAAACCCGAAAAACAGTGGGGCTGTTTATAAGACGCTGGGAATCAGTAAAGAAGAATAGTGATCCGGGAGATACAGGAAGCAAATGATCTGAGCTCAAAAAAGCGAGCTGCTTTCAGAGATATTAATATTTTATAGAAGAGATGCAGGAGAGTGAACTCAAGCAGAGCCCAGCGGATTGCCTGCGTTGGCAAAATAGAACGGATATTCTTGGGAAACCAAGGTAGGTAATGTTCTTTGCAGAGTACAGGAGAAAGAGAACTGCTCAGAGAGAACTCGGTATTCATTCACCTGACTACTGAGCAGTATGTGTCTCAATAAACTAGCCAAAAGATTTTTAAAGGTATCAGGACATGGCCGGGTGCAGTGGCTCACGCCTGTAATCCCAGCACTTTGGGAGGCCGAGGCAGGTGAATTACGAGGTCAGGAGTTCGAGACTAGCCTGGCCAACATGGTGAAACCCCGTCTCTACTAAAAGTACAAAAAAAAAAAAAAAAAAAGAAAATTAGCTAGGCGTGGTGGCGGGCGCCCGTAATCCCGGCTACTCGGGAACCTGAGGCAGGAGAATTGCCTGAACCCGGGAGGCTGAGGTTGCAGTTAGCCGAAATTGCGCCACTGCACTACAGCCCTAGTGACAGTGTGAGACTCCGTCTCAAAAAAAAAAAAAGGACATTACAGAGGGTCAGAAATAGTCACTATTTCCACTGACCAGGGTGGAAAACTTCATAGTCCATTGGACGTTGGATAGAGTACAAAAAAAAGTCTTGATTTAGTAGTTGTTTAGTAATTATTTAGTAGGCAGTAATTAGTCCTAGCTGATCAGTGCTCTAGTGCCATCTAACTCTTAAAAGTAAGACCCAAATGGATCAAACTTAACAAACCATGACAGATGACAAGACCAAACTTCAGTAGTATTTATAGAAATAGAAAAATGTTCACAAACCAGTTAAAGTGCAATTTACATATGTCATGCAATGAAAAATTACCAAGCTTGCAAAAAGAAAAAGAAAAAAAAAGACATAATGAGGAGAAAAATCAATTGCTGATCAGAACTGAAGTAATGTTAGAATCAACAGGCAAGGACATTAAAACAGTTATTGTAACTGTATCCCCTATCTTCAAAAAAGATTATCAGAACTATAATGAAAAAGGTAAGTGGTGGTAAAGATGTAAAGAAAGTGGAATTCTCATGTTGATGATGGGAATGTAAAATGCTGCATAGACTTTGAACATAGGGTTACCATGAGAGTCACAGTTTCACTCCTAGTGATATATCTAAGACAGATAAAAACATGGAGACACAAAAGTACACAAACATCCATAGCAGCATTATTCACAAAAGCTGAAAGGTAAAAACAACCCAAAGGTCCATTAACTGGTGAGTGAAAACACATACTTTCATTCAATGAAGTATTAATCAGTAATAAAGAGAACTTTATTACATGCTAAATAACGGTTACTGCATGCTAAAATATGAACGATCCTTGAAAATATACTAAGTGAAAGAAGCTAATTATAAAAGACCACATAATATATTATTTCATTTATGTTAAATGTCTGGATTTGACAAATCTGTAGCAACAGAAAGTAAATTTATATAGTACTTGTCCAGGGCTGGGAATTGGTGGGAATAAGAGGTTGAGAGAGTATGGGGAGGGACTGCAAATGGATATAGTGTTTCTTTTAAAGTGGTAAATAAAATGTTCTATAATTAAGTTATGGTGAAGGTTGCACAATTCTATACAGAAAACCACTAAATTTACACTTTACTGCTGTCATAAAAGCTGTTAAAAAAAGTTAATCAAAGACGCAAAGCTTGTAATAAAGACCTAAATCAAACTTGTAGAGATGAAAACTACAATGTGATAGATGGAATTAGATGGTGTTAATAGTATGTTACACATTGCAGAATGAAAGTGAAACATAGCTCTACAGAAACTACCCAAAATGAATCACAGAATATTAAAAAATGAAAATAAAGTAACATGAACTATTCAGTGGTGAGCTGTGAGACAACTTCTAACAGCCTAATATACTTGAAAGTGAAGTCTCTGAGAGAGAGGCAAGGGGAGAGGACAAGAAAACATAAGTAATAAAGACCAAAAAATTTAAAATGTGATGAAAAATGTAATTCATATATTCAAGAAGCGTCACAAATCTCAAATAAAGAAATATTAAGAAAATTACATCAAGTTATACCATAATTCATAACCTAAAACTATTGATAAAAAATTCTAAAGTAATTAAGGGTGTTAGGGCACATGTTACATAGAAACAAATATCAGGATTACAGGAAATTTCTTTTTGGAACAGTGCAAGGAAGACAATAGAGTAACATCTTTCAAGTACTGTAAGAATCAAAAAAGTCAACCTTGATTTCTATTTCCAGCAAATAGCTTTCAAAAATGAAGGCTAACTAGGCCAGGCGTGGTGACTCACGCTTATAATCCCAGCACTTTGGAAAGCCAAGGTGGGCGGATCACGAGGTCAGGAGATCGAGACCATCCTGGCTAACACGGTGAAACCCCGTCTCTACTAAAAAATAATAATAATAAAAAAACTAGCCGGGCGAGGTGGCGGGCGCCTGTAGTCCCAGCTACTCGGGAGGCTGAGGCAGGAGAATGGCGTAAACCCGGGAGGCAGAGCTTGCAGTGAGCCGAGATCCGGCCACTGCACTCCAGCCTGGGCGACAGAACGAGACTCCTTCTCAAAAAAAAAAAAAAAAAAAAAAAAAAAATGAAATGTGGTCCTGGCTACTGAGGAGTCTGAGGTGGGACGATCACTTGAGCCCAGTATAAAGCTGTGATGAGTTGGTCATGCCATTGCACTTCAGCCTGGGTAACAGAATGAGACCCTATCTTTAAAGAAAACAAAAATTGTGATGTGGGTTTTATAGCATGTAAAAGTAAAATGTAGCACAAAGTGTGGGAGAGAAGAAATAAAAGTAAATTTATATGCTTGTACAGTTTCTCTGAAGGTTATGTATCAGTTGAAGGTGAACTGATGAGTTTAAACTGTGCAGTAGAGTCTCTGAAGCAATAGTGCCAACACACCTTAGAGGGGCTACCAATGAGTCATTTCCTTGTGTGATTTCTTTTTAGTGCAGACAGAAATTGTGACCAATAGAATACAATAAAGGTGATGGGATGTCATTCTATTGATTAGGTTGTTTATTAGGCAGAGGGGATATCATTCCACTCATGCCTCCATTTTCATGTATAGCAGAAGTTTAGCAGACTGCATTAAAAAAAGAGGGATTCTCCTTCTGGCCTGGAAGAAGCATGCAATCATGTTGTAAATTGCCTGTGGTAAGTATCACATGGCAAGGAACTGTGAGTGGCCTTTAGGACCTGTAAATAGACCTGAGCTGATAGCAATGAGTAGATGGGGCCCTCAGTCAAACAGCCCTGAGCAGATTACGTTTCTACAAACAATCAAATAAAAAATAACGCTACTCAGTTAACGTCTTGATTGAAAACTTAGACCTTGAGCAGAATGCAAAACCTTGACCCAGTGAAACTGTCTTAAAATGTTGACTTATAGAAACTGTGAGATAATAAATGTGTTTTTTAAGATTCTAAATTGTGATAATTTGTTACACAGGAATAGAAAACTATGGCAAACTTCTAAAACAAAGAATTGTAGCTAACAAATCAATAAAGGAGGTAAAATAGAATATAAACAACTAATCCAAAAGAAGGCAGAAAAAGTGAAGACGAACAAAGAAAAAAATGAAGAGAATAGAAAACAAATAGCAAAATGATAGGGGTAAGCCTAAGCATATTTGTTATCACCATTAAATGTAAATATCTTAACTATACCATTGAAAGGAAGAGATTATTAGATTGGATACAACAGCAAAATTGTGTTAAGTACACTAAATATAAAAAAAAAAGATGGAAAAAATATTCCATGCTTATATTAGTTAGATGAATGCTGAATAATTATACATTTGTATATTTATATATGTTTATATAATATACATTTATATATAGTATTTATATATTTATATAATACATATTTTTATATAGTATTTATACACATTTATATATGATATTTATGTATTTATACATATTTATGATATTTACATATGTATTTATAATATATATTTATATGTAATATTTATATATATATTTATATGTTATATTTATATATTTTTTTAGGCGAAAGGCTATCACCAGAAGTAAGAAAGTGATATTATCATGATAAAGGGGTCAATCATGTGAACTTAATCATAAGTGTTTTTGTACACCTAATATGAGACCATGAAAATACATGAATCAAAAACTGAACTGCAAGGAGAAATAGATAAATCCATAGTCATTGTTGAGATTTTAGTAAGCCACTTATAATAATTTATAGAACACTGAACCTAACAGCAGAATAGTCATGCTTTTCTGGTGTATACCCAACAGTGAAGTCCATATTATGGGTCATAAAATTAGCCTGAACAATTATAAATGAATAGTACAATACACAATATTTAGGTTTTTTGTTTGTAAATGATCTAAATAGCCTCCTATATGCATTGAATGTGATGATGTATGCTAATATTGCAGTATTTTTCTTAGACTTAATTAACTCCCAATTTATCTTTAGATTTCTGCTCAGATTTTTCAGACACGATCTAGATTTTTGCTCAGATTTTTCAGACACGATCAAACTTTCCTTCACCTATATGCCTATATCAGACCTCCTTACTATAGGCTCACAAAGCTCTACAGACTTTTTCTGTTGTCACAGTTGCATTTTACATCTGCTTGTAGAATTATTTGAGTGATATCTCTTCTTTTCTAATAAGCTTATTGAGGATAAAAGTTATTTTTGTTAATAGTTGATAGTAATAATAATTTGTTCTATGCATATTAGGGACAATTTATGCAAGGCTACAGTAGGCCACTTTAAGGATATTGGTTTTATATAAACGTGGTAGAAATCTATTGAAAGTTTATTCATAATTAGATGGCAAGTCAGGTTTTAGTATTGCAAATTTAAGCCTCAATCATGGGTGGAAAAATAAAAGGTTGAAAAATGTTATTATTCCAGTGGCCTTAGTAAAAGGTGAAAACATTTTTGGATTCTATAATAAGTAACTTGGCACTAAAGATACAAATAGCTCAATATATTTATGTAAAATAATTCATAGGTTTTATCATTCATTGGATACGTTGGAGTTACTAAACTATGTATAAAATATGTTACTTCAGTTTCTGATGGTGCAACTGGATGAACTGTGATGCAATTTATTTAAATAGTAATTCCTGGAAGATAATTCTATTTGACAAATGACAGAGGAAGATCTTCAACTTGATTTTGTTGACCCACCTATTGGAAGTGTTTTAGCTATTCATGTGTATATTTTTAAAAGACACTTGGATGTGTCTTGAATGAACAAGGAGGTTTAGGGCTTGGAAAAATGTGAGAACTGGAAATATATATTTGATCAACATAAATATATAGGCAATTGAAACTGTGGCCATCAGTGGCATTCCCTATGCTGACTATAGAGTGAAAAAGAAAAGAATGCTAGAATCAGTATAGTTGAGTAACTGACATATTGTGGATTTGTAGAAAACAGATGAGTTTCTAGTGTCAGAGCAGTACCTACAGTGACAGAAGCATTAAAATAAATAAATTGAGATGTGTAATACAGAAAATTCTTAGAAGAATTTTCAGCAATTTTTCATTTGCCAACGTTTTAATGCTCTCCATTGCAATTTGTATTGTATGCATACTTCTGATTTAGTGAAAAACATTTTTCCTATGCATTCCATAAAGAATCTTCTTGCTTGACTAGTAAGAGTTCTTTCTACTTGATGTGTCTATTTTTTAACACTGTCTACCTATTTTACATTTATGATACAGTAGAGAAATGACACTTCCTAAAATGCACAGTTTGACTAAAGTGGCAGGGTTTGGCTTTATGTGTGAGAGTTTAGATCCCTTTGATCTATTTATCACAAATTCCTGTGAAGATACTGCCTTTTGAATAAGATACTTTCCAAATATATCAATAACATCACTGTTAACATCTAAATTTAAATAGTGTTTGGTTAAACTGAAGACCAAACCGTTCAAGGATAAAACAACAAATTGCAAGTCAAAATGATATGCTACAAGGTGAAGTTGGAAAATAGGACTTTAAATATCATACTGCATAAATTTACCAACTCTGTTTCCCCCTCCACTTGGCTCTGATTGGGAGAGATCTGGCCTAAAATTCTAGTGAAAATAACAGTAGATCAATTAAAAAGTTTGAATCTAAGTCTTACTTCTTTCTGTGTTGTCCAATATGCAGCTTTTATTGTTTGGCACATACGAAATGGCTCTGAAAATAGTTGCATTATCACTTAAATAGAATATCCAACTATATTATTAAAATATATGAAGTGAGCTTGGAGGCAAATTCATGTAGATTTATAGAACATTAAGCAAATATAAATAAGCAGATAAAACATATCTTTGCCTTTGTCTATAGGCAGAACTCCTCCAGTACTTAATAAAACATCAAAACCAACATCATACTTTTGGAATCTATTTCTATTGCATAGAAACTTCTGTTTGCTGTGTTTATCTTTCTCAGGATTGTTTTAGGAATCGAAGCTATATTTCCAGATCATCACTTCCTTGAGGCAAGATCATCTAAATGAGTCATGGAAACCCAATAAATAAAATATTATATAAAAATACATATGTATGTTAATATATACATATGTTCCCTGCCTCTCTCTCTCTACCCAGTCTACATATATCTTTGCATGCATGTGAATATCTCACATTGTAAACATTATCTAAAAAGTAATATCTTGAAATTCACTTAATTATCTCCTTGAATTTTAACACTAGCCTTTTTTTCTGAATAGAATCTCTGATTGTTTGCTTCCTGTGTCACATTTATTCACAGGTAGCTAAAATGTAATTTTATTGTGATGTTTATTAACTTAGAGGCTTAAACAATAATGGCTTAAATAAAGCACATGTGCTATAATTATTTCAAAGGATGCCTAAAAATGCACCTGTAGAAATCAGTTCACTTTGTATATGTATAGCAAAACATCATATTGTACACCTTAAATATATACAGTAAAATATTCCATGTGTTGTGTAATTGTCAAAAATATTTCTTCTACCTTCCTAAATGGAATATTTCTACATTTATATCACATCCATTAACTGATGGATGTTTTTCCACTATTTCTTAAATATTCTCCAAACAGTCTTAAAACTTATTTTAACCTGCTGAATTTTTTTTTAAAAGATACTTTTGGACATAGTAACTTTTGAAAAACATTTTTCCATAACTAGACAAAATGATAAAAATTTTATTTAAAAAACAAATTTGGGCCAGGTGCGGTGACTCACGCCTATAATCCCAGCACTTTGGGAGGCCAAGGTGGGCGGATCACAAGGTCAGGAAATTGAGACCATCCTGGTGAACACAGTGAAACCCCGTCTCTACTAAAAATACAAAAAAAATTAGCCAGGCGTGGTGGTGGGCGCCTGTAGTCCCAGCTACTTGGGAGGCTGAGGCAGGAAAATGGCATGAACCCAGGGGGTGGAGCTTGCAGTAAACAGAGATCACGTCACTGCACTCCAGCCTTGGTGACAGAGTGAGACTCCATCTCAAAAAACAAACAAACTAACTTGATAAATATTTCTTTGGTTTGGGTGTTTGAATGCATTAAAGCAAATTTTATATTTGATCACAACTTCTACACAGTAAACTTATATGGCAGATAATAAAAAAAAGTGTTCATTAGGGACTCAGACTCTTGATGAGCAAAATACTTTTGCTTTAATAAACTAATGAATATATTTTTTCTGATTTTATTGTGTGTTTTCAGTGTTGCTTTGGGAATAAGGAATCCCCATTATTTTACCTACATTTTAAAACAGTTTTATAATAGTAGAAATCACATGCCTAAAATGTATTGATTGTAAGTATAAAATTTAGTGATTTATTACACTGACAGAATTTTGCAATCAGTTGTAAGACATTTCTAGCACCCTGGAGAGATCCATTTTGTCTCTTTGCAGTGAATTGCAGTTCCTACTCCCTGGTCCAGAAAAAACAATGATACAGTTTTTGTCTAAGACTGTAGACAAAAGACTGGCCTCTTATGCACATTCAGGAAGTACACAATATGTAGGTTTTTGCATCTTTCTTCTTTCCCTTAGCACAGTGTTTCTGAGGATCATCTATGTTGTAGTATACATCAATAATTTGTTCCTGTCTATTGATGAATATATTCCATTATGTGGATATACCAGATACAGTTTACTCGTTCACCAGTTGATAGAAATTGTATTGTTCCAGTTATTGACCTTTATAAATAATGCTGCTATAAACTTTCCATTAGAAGTTTTTATGTGGGCTAGGAGCGTGACTTATGACTGTAATCCCAGCTCTTTGGGAGGCTGAGACCAGAAGGTCTTCCTGACCAGAAGAGGCCAGGAGTTCAAAACCAGCCTGAGCAACATAGCAAGACTCTGTCTTTATAAAAAATACAACACTTAGCTGTGTGTGCTGGCATGCACCTGTAGTCCAAGCTACTTGGGAGGCTGATGCAGAAGATTTGCTTGAGCCCAGAAATTCAAGGTTGCAGTGACCCCTGATTGTGTGAGGTGGAAATTAAAGAAAGAAAGGAGAATGAAATTAGAAAGAATAAGGTTTCTGTATTCAGCTGACTCATCTGCAAGGCAGTGACAGGCAAAAGCTAGACCTAGGCAAAAGTTCTGATAACATTATCTAAGAAGCCAGGGCTCAAAGGAATGTGCTTTGGAGACTCTCTCAACACTCCTTGAACATAAGGAGAAGAAAAACAAATTTTCTCTAATGATATGAGTAAACCTATGAGTTTATGGATTCCTATTCTCTGCAACTAGTAACATCAAGTATTCTGTTTTATCTAAGTGACAGAGAA